ATATATATATATATATATATATATATATATATATATATATATATAATTTGAACGGGTTCTTAGTGGCTACGGTGTCGATTCAGATTGGGGTTATTTGTTAGGTCTGTGATTGCAAAGCTCTTCTTCTTTCTTTTTACCTGCACTTCTTTGCAGTGTATATACAACATGGGTGCGCTTAAAGAATTCATTTAGCTGCCAACAGCCGCACTTACTAATAAATCAAACTCTGTTCAATTTTGCTAGAGAAACGGGATATACATATATATATATATACTAACTGAATATATATATATATATATATATATATATATTCACGTATACATATAACAATAATAATAATAATATTAATAATAATGCACATTTTTGTAAATAAATTCGGCGGTGTCTTTTGAGATGGCTACATGAGGAGTGAGAATTGCCTTCTTTTTTATGCTAATTTATAAAAAAAGTTTGAAATGAATTTATCTTTTTTATTAATAAAACAATATACACCTACAGCAACTAATAGCAACTACACCAACAACTTATACCCGCCTTGTAGTTTATTTAGCAGTCCTTAAATATTTTCAGAGCTATATTTCAAATTGAATAACTCATAAATTTTAGAATAATAGACTAAATTGCAATATTTTTCAGCTTTTTTTTTGTTTTTTATCACCGGGTGTACATGCAGTGGACCGCGCACCTTGGGGTGTATGTACAGCTGGTAGTTACGAGGAGCGTCTTCTTCTTTTCTTCTGCATTAAATTCATTAAACTTTTCACGAAATATTTTCATTTTCTTTATTTTCAATTCTTTTCACCCCCTCTTCACTCCGAGTTCCATCAAACCCCACCACAGACACCCCGCAGCACAACCGAGCACTGACGGCTTTTGCTGCTGGGGTGCAGCAACATCAAGGGAAACAGCAGCAGCAGCAGCAGCAGCCCCAGCCCCAGCAGGAGCAGCAGCAGCAGCAGGAGCGGCAGCAGCACGGGGAGCCCTAGCAGCACCACCATCAGCAGCATCAACACCAGCAGCATGGGGGCCCCTGTGGGAGAGCAGCTCGGGGGGGCCCCCTTAGATTCTTCTGGTGTGGGTGCAGAGGTGGTGCAGCAGCCGCATGCGCATGTATCCTCACCATCATCATCTTCTTCTTCTGCAGCAGCAGCAGCTGCAGCAGCAGCAGCAGAAGAAGAAGAAACCCTGCAGCAAAAAGCAGAGTGGGAGGTGGAGGTGAATCAGGAGCATCTTGTAGGCCCTCCAATTCCTCTGATAGACCTCGTACCTGAGTTCATTCAAGGCAGCAACGCCAGCGAGAAGATACTCTTTCTAGCGGGGCAGAAGCAGCAGCAGCAGCAGCAGCAGCAGCAGCAGCAAGGGGGGGGAGTGGCTCGTGTAAGGAGAATTAGAAGAGACGGCTGCTGCTTCTACCGCTCTTACCTCTTCGGTGTATTTGAGTGTCTCCTTCTAAACAAACACAAACTACAACAATTCAGAGAAAAGGTCGACTCAGAGATTGTTCCCAAGATGGAGGCCACAGGGTCAGATGCATGCTTCTTCCTGCTGCTGCTGCTGCTGTTGATGCTGCTGTTGATGCTGCTGCTGTTGATGCTGTTGATGCTGCTGCTGTTGATGCTGCTGTTGATGCTGCTGCTGTTGCTGCTGCTGCTGCTCTTGATGCTGCTGTTGATTGCTGCTGTTGACGCTGCCGTTGACGCTGCTGTTGATGCTGCTGCGGTGGATTTCCTGCCGCTGATGCTGTTGCTGCTGCTGTTGCGGGGTCGGTTGCTGCTTCTGCTGCTGTTGCTGCTGCTGCCCTCTTTGCGTGTTGCTGCTAGGGGTTGAGGGTTTTGTTGCTGGTTTGTCTCTGTTCTTTGCAGATACACCAAGGACTCCATCGAAGAGTTTGTTGATGGTGAGCAGAGCCCGGATTAGGGTTTAGGGTTTAGTAGGGTTTAGGGTTTAGTAGGGTTTAGGGTTTAGGGTTTACTAGGGTTTAGGGTTTTGCTGCGGTGCAGAGGTGCATGCGGCTCTGGACAAGTTATCAAGCCCCACTGCCAGCCTGGCTGACCTTGAAGAAATATTTAATGATTCATCTTCTTCTAATTATCTCGTTGTATTCGCCAGGTGTATATACACCCCAAACCCTGTACACTGCACATACACCCCAAACCCTGTACACTGCACATACACCTCAAACAAGGGCAGCTGTATATACGCTCAAAACATTGGATATAGACTTTAATCAGTATTTGGAGTGTATATACACTCCAAATAGATTGCAGTATATATATATACACTCCAAATACTGTACATACACTCTAAAAGGTGCACATACACTGCAGAAGATGCCGATACACTGGAAACCCTGAACCCCCAGAAGTCCGGTTTGATCGGTTTAGGGTTTGGAGGTGGCTTATTAGGGTTTAGGGTTTAGAGTTTATGCTAGTTACCTTCTTGTTTAGTGTTTGCGCATTTGAGCAACCCCCCAAAACCCTAAACCCTAAACCCTAAACCCTTAAGGGTTTAAGGTGTATGCCACCCCCTGCAGAGCCCTACGCCGTAATCCCCCGTGTACCCCCCCCCGTGCCGTAAACCCCAAACCCTAAACCCTAAACCCTAAACCCTAATTGGTGTTGTATGAGCAGGCTGACGACAGCCAGCGAGCTGAAGAGTCGGGAGGAGCATTATCAACCGTTTTTAGAGGCAGCTGACTCTGTCTCTTCGTTTTGTTCGAGAGAAGTAGAGCCGATGTGGGTAGCAGCAAATGAGCCGCAGATCTTTGCTTTATCTTCTTCTCTTGGGGTGTCTGTTGAGGTCTTCTATGTCGATCAATCACCTGCCAAACAACCCGGTAACAACAAACAACAAACCCTAAACCCTAAACCCTAAACCCTACCGACTATGCACTTGACGACAAACCGCCAGCCTTTATTCAAATCGCACGTTCAACGGAACTCAAACAATAAACCCTAAACCCTATACCGCAAACCCTAAACCCTAGCTACACCTCAAACCCTACAAAACCCTGCATGTCAAACCCTAAACCTCAAACCCTAAACCCTACACGGAGAACCCTCAGTGCAAACCCTAAACGCCAGACTGTCGGCGCTGCACCTGTGCTAAGCCCTGAAAGGTCTTTAACCGTAACCCTGAGCCCTTAGCCCTAAACCCTAAACCCTAAACCCTAATTCGAAGTCTTAAACCCTCGGCTGCTTTGTTCTTTTGCTGCAGTTCGCCACGTCTTCCCTGCTGAGACGGAGGGCCCTTCAGTGCAGCTTCTCTATCGCCCTGGCCACTATGATCTCCTCTACCTAGCTAGCCGCAGCTAGCTACAGCTAGCCACAGCTAGTCACTACTGGCTGCAGCTAGCCACAGCTAATAACGGCTAGCTACAGCTAGTCACGGACAGCTACAGCTAGCTGTGCTCGTGCTGCAGCTAGCTGTACTCCTGCTGCGGCTAGCCACAATCTTGCTGCAGCTAGCTAAAAATTATTCATATCTACACACTGCCGGGGCGGCGGCCTGTGCGGCGATCTGAGGGAGTTGCAAGCGTAGTCTCAGCTAGCTAGCTGCCTAGGCAACTAGCTAGCTAGCTAGCCAGCCAGTGAGCTACCCAGCTAGCCAGCCAGTGAGCTAGCTAGCTAGGGCAGCTAGCTAGCTAGGGCAGCTAGCTAGCTCGCATGGAGGCCGGTGAAACTCCCAACAGGCGCTGCAAACGTTGCGCCCCTTTCTTTCGGCCCGCAGCTGGCTAGCTGGCTAGCTAGCCGCCAATACGGATAGCTATCTGCTTGTGCGGCTAGCTGTATACCGCTAGCTAGCTGCCTCTGCGGCTGGCTAGCTGCTAACACGGCTGGCTAGCCGCTCTCATAGGGCTAGCTCTGTACTGCTAGCTAGGTGCTTGTACGGCTATCTAGCTGATTGTGCAACTAGCTGGCTAGCTGACTAGCTAGATGGCTAGCTAGCTAGCTAGCTAGCTAGCTGGGTAGCGACGCTTTTGCTTTGTGTATTTGGGAGTGCACCTGAACAGGTAAGGCGTTTAGGGTGTATGTGCAGCTGGCGGGCAATCAGAAGACTTGGTTTAAGTGACCATTTAAAACCTAAATCGATTTCCTGTTGCATGCGTTGGGGTGTATGTATGGGTACACCCCACACCCCACACCCCACAACCCTAGTTTTGCATGTGAGGGTTTTAGAAGAGGCGCTGAGGGTTTGCAACGGTCTCCGCGTCTCTCTTTGCTTCTAACAGCCTCCTGTAGGGAATACGGAACACCCCACAGAAGCTGGGATCGGACGATCCCAGCAGCAGCTGCAGCGGCGGCAGAGGAGGCAGCCAATATGGATGAAAGGCCTGAAGACCCCTCCACCCCTTTTGCGGGTGCAGCAGCGGCAGCACGAATAAAGAAGAGAGACAGCCTACATCGCGGTTTACCTCTATGAGCCCCTCCTGCTGTTGCTGCTGCTGCTGCTGCTGCTGCTGCTGCTGCTGGAGCAGAAAGAGGTGCATGCGGCGTCTGGCTAGGGATAGGGGTTGCTGCTGCAGCAGCTGCTGCCTGAAGGCCCAGCTGTCTTTGTCTCTTACGAAGCGTCTGTACACCTCAGCTTCAGCACCTTCATCTATAGAATGGGGCTTTCTGCATGCATGCAATTTAATTAAAAACTCATTTACTAAAGCCAAATGTCGAGGCACTATTCGGGTGTACAGACCGTAGGTGAGAGCAGCAGGAAACTGCAGCACCTGCTGCAGTGGGGTGTACATGCAGTTCTGAATATAAAGAAGTTTTGTCTTTAAAGACCCCTCCGTATTCATACTTAAGAGACGAGGGTGCTGCAGCAGCAGCTGATGCAGCTGCTGCTGCAGCTGCTCACGTGCTGCTGCTGCACCCGCAGATTCCTCCTCCATACGCTGCAACGCGGCAGCGCGCGCTGCTGCTGCTGCTGCTGCATCCCCTGCTGCTGCTGCTTCTGCTTCTCCTGGATACGTCTCCCGCAGCAGCAAACCCTCCGCATGCGGCACCAACTGAGGCACTGTGGGGCGGCGCTCACCTTGCTGCTGCTGCTGCTGCTGCTGCTGCGGCAGCGGAGGGACGGGCCCCTCCCCTTTCCACCACTGCACCCACTGTTTGTACTCTTCCTCTTGCTGCTGCTGCTGCTGCTGCTGCAGTTCCTGCTGCTGCTGCTGCTGCTGTTGCTGCTGCTGCAGCTCTAGCAGGGGATCGTCTCCTCCCCAGAAGTGAGGCCTTGTAGAGAGGACCTGCAACCAAACAGAAGCAAACGCCTTCAGCTTCTTGAAAGGCTGCCGCTGCTGCAGCAGCTGCGGCCGCTGCAGCGCCAGCTGCTGCAGCTGCTGCTTGCTGAACCCGAATTGCTTCCAGCGAGTCAAGAAATTGCGCATGCGAGCTGCTGCTGCTGCTCCGTGTGCATCTGCTGCTGCTGCTGCTTCTGCTGCTGCTTCAGCAGCTTGCTGCGCTGCTGCTGCTGCGCTGTCGCGCGGCGGCGAAGATGCGTCGGGTGCAGCAGCAGCAGCAGAATCTGCAGCAGCATCTTCAGCATCTCTAGCAGCAGCAGTAGCAGCAGCAGCAGCAGCATCCCTAGCAGCAGCAGCAGCAGCAACGGCTTTATCTATGGGAAGGTCTGACTTAAAGGCCCCAGGATCAGTCAGAAGCCAGCGTTTTGCTGCTGCTGCACTCCATCCCTCTTCTTGCAGCAGCACTGCTGCTGCTGCTGCTGCTGCTTCTGCCCCTCCTGGACAAAGCAGCTGCACCCGCCGCTGCAGCAGCTGCAGCAGCTCCCTAGGAGACAGCTGCAGCAACGAAGGAAACCGCAGCTGCTCCAGCCGCTGCAGCAACGGAGATGCAGCCAGTAGCTGCTGCTGCTGCTGCTGCTCCGCCTGCTGCTGTGCATCGTCCCCTTCGCTGCTGCTGTTGCTGCTGCTACTGTCGCTGCTGCTGCTGCTGCTTCTGCTGTTTGATGTTATGTTGTAGTCTTGGTCTACGTTGTGCTGCAGCAGCAGCTGCAGCAGCGCCACATGCGTGGGTTTAGGGGTTTGCTTGCCCCGCAGCAAACAAGATAAAGCAAAAGCAATCCCCCTCCGCAACTTATCAGGCAGCGGGCCCACCCTCTCCACTTCCTGCTGCTGCTGCTGCTGCTGCTGCTGCTGCTGCTGCTGCTGCTGGAGAGGCTGGGGGTGATAGAACAGCTCGTCGGTTGGCAGCCAAGGAGACAGCGGGTTTTTGTGGAGACCCTTTTGCAGACGCCGCAACGAACAAAGACAGGTGCTTCTACTGGGGTGTACGTACACCCCGATAAAAGCTGCTGCTGCTGCTGCTGTTGCTGTTGTTGCTGCTGCTGCTTTTGCTGGGGCTCCACTGCAGCGGGTGACTGCTGCCGCTCTTCGAGAGTCAAAGCCCTTGCTGCTGTTGCTGCTGACAGGGCAGCAAATTGCTGCTCCTTCAATGCCCACAGGCAGCAGCAGCAGCAGCAGCAACAGCAGCAACGTCGGCAGCAGCAAGCGCCGGCCTAGCTGTGGCGTTTGCATCTCCAGATAGGGTGTACGTACACCTGAAGGCTAAATGGATGGGGCCCCCCAAAAGGGGGGGCCCCACAGACAGGCTAGCTGAGAGGCGGCACCCTCTTTTAGCAGCAGCAGCAGCAGCTGCTGCTGCTGCAACCGCAGCAGCAGCAGCTGCTGCTGCTGCAGTTGGCGTTGCTGCTGCTGCTGCTGATCTTCACCTTGAAGCAACAGCCCTCAACCACTATAGAGCCGCTTGCTCCATGCACACACTGGGGCAGTGCAAAGTCCTTGACCATAAACCCTAAACCCTAAACCCTAAACCCTAAACCGTAAATCCTAAACCGTAAACCCTAAACCTTGAAACCCGAGTACACAGTTTGCAAGACATTAGATATTGGGGTATAGAAACAAGCAGAGGTGTAAATGAGTTAAAGGATTATTCTTCAGGGTTGAGGGTTTACGGATTGGGGTTTAGGGTTTAGGGTTTAGGGTTTGGGGCCAAGCCCCGACCGCCAGCTGGTTTGGCTGTGATGCAGCGCTGACTTCGCCGAGCCTCTGCTCCTCTGGGGCTTTTTTTATCTTTTAATTTATGTGAATATTCATCTGCTGCTGCAACAGTGGCTTCTTCGTTTCTCCTTTGAAGCCAGCAGCAGCAGCAGCAGCAGCAGCAGCAGCTGTAGCAGCAGCAGCAGCAGCAACCGCAACCGCAGCAGCAACGGCAAAAGCTGCAGCGACAAAAGCTGCAGCTAACTCAAGGCGGTCCCTAAGGTGAATACCTCAGGGGAAGAGGGGTAGCAGCAACACCAATAACAGCAGCAGCAGCAGCAGCAGCAGCAGCAACAGCAGCTGCAGCAAACTCTGTTGCAGAAAACACTGCGGCATCGTCAGCAACACCAACTGCAGAAGCAGCAGGAAAAGCCGCATCAGCAGCACCACAAAGAGCAGCAGCAGCAACAGCAAAAGCACCAGCAGCAGGAGCACCAAAAAAAGAGCAGCAGCAACAGCAGCAGCAAGAACTGCTGCAGCAGCAGCAGCAAGGACGGCAGCAGTTTATGGCGTTCGGTTATCTATACACCTCGCGTTGCTGCTGCGCCCATGCAACGGCCCTTGGCTCTCCTTCAGCTATCGGCGTCAGGGTTTAGGGTTTAGGGTTTAGGGTTTAGGGTTTAGGGTTTATGAAATGACGGGTACCGCCCGAGGGTCTCCACGAAGGGAGTGGAGCCCCCCCCCTCCTTTCTTCCCACGCCCGCAGCAGCAGCAGCAGCAGCAGCAACAGCAGCAGCAGCAGCAACAACAGCAGCAGCAACAGCAACGAAACTCGTTGCAGCTGCAGCTGCAACAGATACAGCAGCAGCAGAAACTGCAACTACAGCAGCTGCAACAGCAGCAGCTGCTGCAGCAACAGCAACAATTACAGCTACAGCAACAGCAGCAGCTACAGCATCAGCAGCAGCAGAATCTGCAGGAGCATCAAGGAAACAATGCTGGGGCGCCAGGCTTGGTGGAGGCTGCTACTGCAGCAGCAGCACCCGCAGCAGCAGCAACAACAACAACGGATGCGTCAGCAACAGCAGCAGCAGTAGTCCCAGCTGCAGCAGCAACAGCAGCAGCAGCAGCAGCAGAAGAGGAGGAGGTTTGGCCGCCCCCTCCCTTGCTGGATTATTCACCCCCGAAGTATTGTCTTTGCTGCGCAATTGTTGCACAGAGGGAGGGCAGCAGCAGCAGCAGCAGCAGCAGCAGCAGCAACAGCAGCAGCAGCAGCTGCGACGCACTGGCTCCCAGCAGCAGCAGCAGCACTTCGTGGACAGCGCCGTTCTTAGAGTCTTTTCTGCAGCAATTGAGGCGAAGAGAGCTCAGAGGCAGCCACATGGCAGCTAAAAGAACTGCTGAGGTATGCTGCTGCTGCTGCTGCTGCTGCTGCTGCTGCTCATGTTGCTGCTCATGCTGCTGCTGCTGCTCTTGCTACTGCTGAGGCTTGCTGCTCATGCTGCTGCTGCTGCTGATTCTGCTGCTGACTGCTGCTGCTGATTCTGATGCTGCTTCTGCGGTCTGCTTCTGCTGCTGCTGCTGATCTTGCTGCTGCTGCTGCTGCTGCTGCTGCACATCTTGTTGCTGCTGTTGCTGCAAATGGAGTTGCTACAGTTGACTGTTTGCGCGTGTATTTTATTTGTTCTATTTGCTTTCGAACTGCTGCATTTTCGTTGACCCACATGTGCATGATCAGGGTTTAGGGTTTAGGGTTTAGGGTTTAGGGTTTAGGGTTTAGGGTTTAGGGTTTGGGGTGTATGCACAGACTTTAAAGCGGGTTGTTGATGCATACCCCTGGAAAACAACGCAGGAGTTGGTTGACATTGTGCGAGATATTGGGCGGCGTTTGATTTGTGCTGCTCCTCTTGATCTGTTGGTTGCAAACATCGTTAGGCGGGTAAACCCTAAACCCTAAACCCTAAACCCTAAATGTGAAACCCGACGCGCACGCACGTCTACGCACCCGCGGTCTTTCATCCTCTTCATATAGGAGGGCGGGAGAAGCCAAATGCTTTGGTTTGTTTGCAAGGTTTTAGGGTTTAGGGTTTAGGGTTTAGGGTTTAGGGTTTGTGGTTTGTGGGTGCAGGTGTTATGCATCTTTCGAACGGAGCATTACAAGCATCAAGACGCGCACCGTCAGGTGCCTCGTCCGTTGGATTGTTTGAAGCAGCAGCAGCAGCAGCAGCAGCAGCAGCAGCGACAGCAGCGGCAGCAGCAGCACCAGCAGCAGCAGCGAGCTAAGTGGGTCTCACAAAGAGCAGCACCTTCTATGGCGAGCTACTTTGATCCGTTTGCTGCAGCAGATGCGCGCGACTTTCTGCTGCCAGTGCCTCCTACTGTTAAGCAGTCAATCTTTGAGGTAGGGTTTAGGGTTTAGGGTTTAGGGTTTATGGTTTACGGGGGATGGTAGCAGGAAGTAGAAGTAGAATACGACGGTGCGCTGTCAGGGTGGTAGTTGGGGTTTAGGGTTTAGGGTTTAGGGTTTAGGGTTTAGGGTTTTGCCGTTGGGTGTTTCAACGCTGAAAAGGGCAGCGAGTTCCTCACGCCTTCCTCCTTGCGAGCGTTTAACGTTTAACGTTTAGGGTTTAGGGTTTAGGGTTTAGGGTTTGTGGTTTAGAGTATGTCGGAGTTGGTAGCCGAGATCGATAGCCTCTGGGAAGACGGTGAAGAAATTCGCATGAGTTGTTTTCATGACGGAGACTGCATACTGACATACGGCTACTCGCTTGCTGTTGAGAGGCTCCTTATCGCTGTAAACCCTAAACCCTAAACCCTAAACCCTAAGTCGGGACTTACGGCTATTTATTCTCTTGCAGTTGAGAGGCTCCATATCTCTGTAAACCCTAAACCCTAAACTTAGAGTCGTGACGGTTATTCACTTGTAGTTTGAGAGGCTCCTTATCTCTATAAACCCTAAACCCTAAACCCTAAACCCTTATCTGTGAGTTTGATAGTATAAATATGTAATACGTGGGTTAATTTGTCGACGCATGTGTGCGTTTTGTTTAGGGTTTAGGGTTTAGGGTTTAGGGTTTATGTTGCAGGTGCATGAGAAGAATCTGAAGCTGCAACAAGCAGGACGACGCGGGGTCGGAGCTAGGTGCGGGTTTAGGGTTTTAGTCATGGGAGGGGACGCAGAAGAAGGGGGCAGACGTCTCGCCTTGAGGCTTTTTAGTGCATCTGTAGAGACAGTCTTCATCCCTGATGCTGCTCTATTTTCTATCATGCCGAAAGTAGATAAGGTCCTATTGGGTGCGCTCCAAACCCTAAACCCTAAACCCTAAACCCTAAACCCTAAACCCTAAACCCTAAACCCTATTCATTATTCAACACATATTCTACTCCCTTTTGTATCCACGCTGCAGACGCTGCTGATTGTAGCAGATAGAGGAGTCTTTTTTTGATTTTCTGAGGGTTTAGAAATGGTTTAGGGTTTAGGGTTTAGGGTTTATGCAGCTGGGTTCATTTGAATATCAGTCCGCTTCCCATAACCTCCATCTCCTAAACCCTAAACCCTAAACCCTAAACCCTAATTTGTGTTGTGCTGCTTCTCAGGCACTGTTGCTGTGCTATCTTCTGGGGGCGTCGTCACCGTAGGGGGCGCCGCGCCAGTTGCTCAGGCAGCTCAATTTTTTAATAAACCTCTGATTGCTGTTGCACCTCTCTTTAAACTTACATACCTTCCTTTCTTTGATTATCAAAGCTCCAACGAACTACTCCCTCCCGCAGCGGTCCGCCATATATACACAGCTAGCTAGCTAGCTAGCTGGGGAGCTAACTAGCTACCTGAGGAGCTAGCTAGCTACATGGGGAGTTAGGGAGATGGGGGAGCTAGGCTGGTTAGCTGGGTAGCTAGCTGGTTAGCTAGCTAGCTAGCTGGTTAGCTAGCTGGTTAACTGGATAGTATAGTGCTGCCATGCAGCTAGCTAAGCAGCACCTTAGCTGAGAGCGAAGACCCCTCGAGAGTGCAGCAGGTTGAAGGGGAGGAGAAGACAGCGGCTAGCTAGCTAGCTAGCTAGCTAACTAACTAACCAACTAACTAACTAGCTAACTAACTAACTAGCTAGCTAGCTAGCTTGGGGTGTCTTGTTGGGTGTGTTTCTGCTTGGTGCAGATGGTGCCGGACGGACTGGCGATGGGCAACGTCAGCATCAGGTACGCAGCTAGCCAGCTAGCTACTCAGCTAGCTAGCTACTCAGCTAGCTAGCTAGGTAGCTAGTTAGCATGGCGGAGCGTGACTGCAGCAGCAGCTGCCCTGCCTTGTAGCGCTTCACTTGTCTATCTATCTATCTATATCTATATCTATATCTATATATTTATGTATATATCTATATATATACATATGTATATTATATCTATATCTATATATATATATATATATATATATATATATATATATCTGTCTGTCTACCTACCTACTTACCTCTCTATCTATCTTCCTATCTGCCTCCCCCCCTACCTATCTATCTAGCTAGCCACCCCTAGCTAGCCATGCATAGCTAGCCATCCATAGCCAGTCATGCATGCATGCATGCATGCATGCATAGCTAGCTAGCTAGCTAGCTATCTAGATGGGTGTATATGATGTGGGGTTGCTTGCAGGATCCCTATGTTTGACTATGTGCCGCGCTCGCTGGTCTCTGTCTTCATAACTGATGTGGGAGCAGTCGATCCCAGCTATCTCTTTACTCTTTCGAGGCAGCGCTACCACGTCGACGACATCGCACTCAGCATCGTTGACTAGCTAGCTAGCTAGCTAGCTAGTCATAGCTAGCCACCTAACGTGCTAGCCATAGCTAGCCACCTAGCTAGTGGGCTAGCTAGCAGCATCCTCGACTGGCCAACTGGCTAGCTAGCTAGCTAGCTAGCTAGGTAGTCGACAAGTTAGCTAGCTAGCGGCGTGCCTAGCTACCTAAGCAACCGAATTGCCAGCGAGCGAGCGAGCCAGCTAGCTAGCTGGCTAGCAGCACCGTCGACTCGCTAGCTAGCTAGCTAGCTAGCTAGCGCGTTGGCTCGCTCGCCGCAGTTGGCCGGCGCTGCCTCGTTTGCTTGCCCGCGTGCTGTCTATCGACCCCAGCTAGCTAGCTAGCTGGCTAGCCAGCCAGCTAGCTATCTAGCTAGCCAAGGGTTTGCCTACTATGGCGGTGCTTGCTGTGTGGGTTTTGCAGCTGCCTTACTAGCGGTGTCTGTACACCCGAAGTCCTCTAGCTACAGGCGCTGCTGCTGCGGTTGCTGCGGCTGCTGTTGCTGCTGCTGCTGCTGCTGCAGATGCTATGCTTTGGCTTTGGGGCCCCCTGGGGGCCCCAGCAGTGCCGTACGAACTTTGAGGCCCTGCAGGTGTCTGCAAGCCTACAGCAGGGCCTCGTAACCCTAAACCCTAAACCCTAAACCCTCTCGAAAGAAATCTGTAGCTCCCGCTGTTGCCGTCGCTTAAAAGGGGCTCCATTAACGGTCCCTTGGGGGTACCGCTAGGCGGCTAGCTAGCCGCCCAGCTAGCTAGCTAGCTACTCAGCTAGCTGGCTAGCCACCCAGCTAGCTAGCTAGCTAACCACCCAACCAGGTGGCAACCTGGATAGCTAGCCATCCTGCTAGCTGACACACAAAGCCAGCTAGCTAACCACCCAGCTAGCTAGCCACCCAGCTAGCTAGCTGCCAGCTGCTTGCCCTCAGGGCGCAAGGAGTTAGAGGTCGTCGTAGCTGGTGGTGGGTCGAGGGACAGCCTGCGGTGTACATACACCCCACACCACGCCATCCATCAGCAAAGCCCCCTTACATACATCAACCAAACAGCTAGCTAGCTAGCTAGCCACCCAGATAGCCACCCTTCTAGCTAGCCAGACACCCTTCTAGCTAGCCAGCCACCCTTCTAGATAGCTAGCGAGGCGCCCAACTAGCAAGCCAACCACCTAGTTAGCTAGCTAGCTAGCTAGCTACCTAGCTAGCTAGCTAGGGATGCTTACGAGGGGTGCAGCACCGGGGCCATAGGGAGAGTCCCAGTCGCGCTGTCTTCGCACATGGGGCATCGCTGGTGGCGGGGGCAGCACAAAAGGAGGGGGGGGTACTCCTCCAGCTGTACAGACAAACCACCAAATTAGGGTTTAGGGTTTGCGAATTAGGGTTTAGGGTTTGTGAATGAGGATCTAATGGTTGCTACTACCGATGAGGGTTGACGTCTCTGCAGATTAGGGTTTAGGGTTTACGGCCAATTAGAGTTTAAGACTTGCAAATTAGGGTTTAGGGTTTGCGTATTAGGGTTTAGGGTTTAGGGTTTACGCATGAAGATGCCGGGTGCAGGGGGTGGAGGCCTCCTCATTACTCTGTCTCTGTCTCTCTCTCTGTCTCTCTCTCTGTCTCTGTCTCTGTCTCTGTGTCGCTGTCTCTCTTTAGGAAGGGTTATATGTTTATTGGGGTCGTTCATATAAGCCGTCTTCATCAGGTGCGGCACGTACTGCAATACAAACCCTAAACCCTAAACCCTAACCCCTGATAAACCCTGATAAACCCTGATAAACCCGCGCAGAAATGCCCCACCCAAACACAAAAAATACCAGCCAACGCCTAACGCAATATCCCCTAAACCCTAAACCCTAAACCCTAAACCCTAAACCCTAAACCCTGAAGAGCGTACAGCAGCGCAGCCCCAGCCCTTCTCGAAGTCTCCGTTCTGAACCCCAATCCCAACCCCCCAACCCTAAACCCTAAACCCTAAACCCTACTTTATTAATGATGCGGATAAGCTCTAATTCGTGTTTCTTGCGGTGATGCAGATGAACAAAAGAAGGAGCCTTAAACAGCTTTTGGCATAATGTGCAGCGATAGCGTCCTTCGGCGTCTTTAGAGGTGTGCTGCGCACAAACCCTAAACCCTAAACCCTAAACCCTAAACCCTAAACCCTAAAACCCTAAACCCTAAACCCTAAAACCCTAAAACCCTAAACCCTAAGCACTAGCCCCGAAACCCTACTGCGGAGTTTGTAAGAATATCATGATGGTCGCTAGGGGAGAGTATTTTCACGGAAGGGCGACCATACGAAGCAGTTAGGGTTTAGGGTTTAGGGTTTAGGGTTTAGGGTTTAGGGTTTAGGGTTTACTTCTTGGCAAAAGGCATTCCACTTGCTCTGTATAATAGGGCTTTCATTCTCATCTAAAGGAGGTGGGAGGTTTTGCTGCATGTTTGCTGCCATGTGCAGCAGCACCTGCAGCCGCTGATCGAGTTGCTGCGCCCACTGCTGCTGCTGCTGCGAGATCCCGCTGCTGCTGCTGCTGCTGCTGCTGCTGCTGTCGTCAGCAGCATTCTCATCTTGCTGCTCCTGCTCCTGCAAGAAATGCTGCAGATGCGGAGGGCATACAGGCCTCAGGTGTGCAGCTGTTGCGTTCAAGTGCAGCTGCTGCGGGTCATCGTACACCTGAACACCAAACCCTAAACCCTAAACCCTAACCCTAAACCCTAAACCCTAAACCCTAAATCGTCAACTGAAAACGCCAATTCCCGCCCCGCCAAACCGTATATTACTCCCAAGACACATTTTAGGGTTTACATGTTAGGGTTTAGGGTTTAGGGTTTAGGGTTTAGGGTTTGGAAGCCAACCTTCCCGCTGTAGTAGCAAACGCAGTGTACATGACGCAAGTACGTCAGCATCAGGTCGAGGCGCCTGAAACCACAAACCCTAAACCCTAAACCCTAAACCCTAAACCCTAGGCATTTACACTACAGTTCAGGCCGTACCAGCGAGCAGCATAGCCCCCTAATACGAAGAAAAGCGGAGTGTTGCACCAAACTTAGGGTTTAGAATTTAGGGTTTAGGGTTTAGGGTTTGAGCTGTACGTACAGCCACGGGTCCTCAATCCCATCAAGGATTTCCTCTAGAGGGTGCGGCGCATCTGCTGCGCACACATCCAGCTGACCATCTGCAGCAGCAGCAGCAGCAGCAGCAGCAGCAGCAGCAGCAACAGCAGCAGCAGAAGAAGCAAACGCAAGACACAAAACGGTGATAGCTGCAGGCTGCTTTGATAAATATATCAAACACCAATTCAACTTGTATAAATATATATATATATATATATATTTATATATATATATATATATTTATAT